TCACGCGACAAGCTCGGATACTCCTCTAGTGTCCTGTTGATAACCTCTATGGACCGACCCATCCACTGCAATAAAAAAAACAACATATTAAACAAATTAGATGTATTTGTAGTGATAATTATAGTACCAAAAAACACAAGTACTTACATAATCCGTGTTAGTTCTCTCTGGCAGTGCGCGACTTCCATGTGATGACGTAACTGGAGAAACACGAGGATGAGAAAATCGGTACAGCCACTGCATGTAACCAGGACCGACCATAGGAGCACCACCACCAAGCCTGCTAAGGGGACCCAACACCACACTGAAAGACGCACCAGGGACAAACTGAGTCCACATCACAGATGTCATCTCTGGCGAAAAGTCTACTTGATACAATTTCAAGTTCGCCGGTCTCTTCGCCTTCTCAGGCCTGATGATGGCTTGTGGAATGCCCTGGACGTATCCAAGTTGTCGAACCACTCGATCAGGCATATATGGATTAATGATGCTACAGTACTAGATGCAGCCAATGAATAGAGTAGCAGGCACGCGCCGTGCTGGATCAACTCCGTAAGGTAGCCAGTTCACCTCATTGTCAGTTAGATGATCCAACCTAGCACGAAAAGCGAGGAGGCGCTCCATGCTCTTGTTGGGGCACCCCGATCCGACATCCCAGGAAGACGCACGAGGAACAGTAAGCTCTCTGGTCAAGGTCCCCTGCTGAGGCCGAAAACAGGGAAAGTACTCGTAGATCCATGCCTGCAGAAGCGTAAGACAACCAGCGATTGAATCAGCATCTTTTCGTGATGTTGTACCCAACTGCCGATACATATATGCTAGCACAGCAGAACCCCAAGAGTACTCACTAATCTGAACATCCTCAACAAAAATCTCGTTGAGGAAGGAAGGATGAGTACAGTTGCCACTCTTGTCCAAAAACAGACATCCGCCAAGTACTAACCACAAGTACGCCCTGTAATGGACATTGAAGGGCCTCTGCGCCTCCAAGGTCGACTCCATTATCCTCTCAGTGAGCACCCCACTACCCTGCCATACGGTTTTAGTACCGCACTTCTCATTCAGCTCTTCCGCAGTCATATCCATGGTAATCGAGCACGCGTCCCGTAAAACGTTCGTGCTAGGAGTAGTGGAAACCATGGAACCATCGACACGAAGCCCTAGAATATGATACACATCATGAAGCATGATCGTGATCTCCCTAAATGGCATGTGAAACGTATTCGTGTCTGGCTGCCATCTCTAAACAAAAGCAGAAATCAAGGGCCAATCAAATTGCCGGAACATGATCCCATGTAAGTGAGATAGACCACTGCCATCAATCAGTTCCAGGTGCTCCTGCGGAAGACGAGCACACCAGTTACCCAATTCAGTACACAAATGTGTCCTGCTCAAACACCGCAGAACATTTCGCTCTGCCCACCCCATAAATATGCAGCCACATGACCCCCAAAACTAGGAATAATAGTACCATCCTCAAGCCCACCTGGCATCGGCTCCTGTACTACCCACGTCTCTGATGAGCTGGTAGAAGGTTGGCCTGGCTCACTACTGCCAACAAATCCCCCATGCTGAGCCCTATACACGGTACGATAGTCCTGAGGGTCGTACTCTGAATCTCGACTAGCATGACTAGCTCGCTCGTCGTCCTCATCGTCAGATGAAGGCACTCTACCTGACGAGTACATGGGGGCGCTCCCATCTGACTGATGCTCCCCCAACCAAGTACCAGCAGACCCATACTGCTGCTCATGATGAAACGGTGCCTCCGAAGGTCCTGCACCACCTAACTCCCTCCTAACTGATGCATTCAAACGTCTTGATCTTGCATGTCGAGCGCCCGAACCCTCAATCTGCATTACATAAGTACAAAATCAAATTTCATTAATACTTACACACACAACTATGATATCAAACTTGAATCACTAATATTCAAATTCAAAAATATCATTTCAAAACTATAATAAACCAAATCAATTCAAATAAACAATAATAACAACACTACCAAGGATCAATAATAACTAATAATAATTTGACAACAATAACAATAAACCAAATCAAAACAATAATAAACCACAAAATCGGCAACATTACAACACAATAACAATAACAATAATAACAACAGTGGTAATAACAACAACAACAATAATTTCAATCCATTTTTTATCAAATTTTAATCACGAAAAAATTACATAACAACAATACATAACAATAACAACAAAAACAATATAATTATATTAGTCAAAAAGAAAAAAAAAAACATATCAATATTCACGAGGATAAAAAATTCCGAAATTAATAAAAACCATAATACATAACAATTACACATAAAAAAAATAATAAAAACAATTAAAATTATATTACTCAAAAAAAAATTACATATCAATAATCACACGGAAAAAAAAAAATCCGAAATTCATAAAAAACATACACATAACAATAACAATAAAATTATATTACTCAAAAAAAAATTACATATCAATAATCACACGAAAAAAAAAAATTCCGAAATTCATAAAAAACATACACATAACAATAACAATAAAATTATATCACTAAAAAATAATACAAAAAAATACTAATCACGAAAAACAGGAAAACAAAAAAAAAAAAAACAAATCGACCACAAAAAAAAAAAAAAAAATTCAGAAAACCCAAACTTCCGCCTGAAAAATCCGGAAGTCTGGGGAAACATCCGGAAATTTCAGGCGGAAGTCCACATCTGCCTGAAATTTCCGGATGTTTCCCCCGGAAATTTCAGGCGGAAGTCTGGGTTTTACGAAACTTTTTTTTTTCCAAAATCAGAAACAATATAACAACAACCAACCTGTTCGCCACCACTAACGCCGCCCCCACGACCACTGTAAGTCAACCTAATGCATCGCCGGTCCGCCATACCCGGATTCAACCTTTGATTGGTGTTCGTTGTTCTTTGTTTGAAAAAAAATTTCTGAATTTTTTTTTAAAATTTCTGACTTTTTTTTTTTTTTTTAAAAAAATTTCTGCCTTTTTTTTAGAGAGAGAAAATTTTAGAGAGAGAGTGTGTGGGTTGTGAAATGACTTGTGAGTTTCGGAAGCGAGTTTTCCGAGTATTTATATACGAGGGGCAAGTTAGGAAAATCAAGTAAAAAATGCGAGCGTCACCTAGTAATTTGCGAACGACGTTTAACAACACCCTAATTTAGAAAATACTAACATGTTAACGAATTACTCATACGGTGATTTAGGTTTATGTGAGAATCAAAATTATGGTGAGAACCACTCCTACGATAAGAACTATATAAGTTACATGCAATAAAACTGAAAAGTACATCAAATTTTTTTTTATTCTTTTATTTCAGAGTTATTTTTTATTTTTTTTATTTATTTTAATTTTTTTATTTTATATATATATATATATATATATATATATATTTCTATTTTTTATTTTTTTGCAAATGATGTACCTTATAACTTCATAACATGTATCTTTTATCTTTTAGTCATGTACCTTATAGATATAAGACATGTACCTTAAAGTTTGCAAGAACAAAATTTATTTTACAAAAATTTCAAAATTTTTAATTTTTTTTTATTTTTTTATTTTTTTATATATATATAAGTGATGTACCTTATAACTTTATAACATGTACCTTATAGATATATGACACGTAGTTTATAGTTTGTAAAAGAAAAATTTATTTTAAAAAATATAGTTTTTTTTTAAAGTGATGTTTTTTTTGAAACAATTAAGTGATGTACCTTAAACCATCTTCGATGGTGAGAGTTAACTTTTAAGTATTGAGATACAAAACGAGTTGTGTTTTCACATCCAATGGTGATACCCAACCCACTTCTCAATTTAGCAACCCATGTAATAATTTTCCAATGGTGAGATTCACTAAAGTATACTAATATCATCACTTTCCATTATGCTCCACCATATTTATTTATTTGTTAGAGATTGTTGTGATTGGAAATTAAATACATAAAAAAAAATATTATAAAATTGATAAGGGCCCAAATTTTTTTCAATTGAGACTCAAAATTAAGTATCTAAACTTAGCAATTTCTTTTAGGGTATCTAAATATAGATACCAATTTATTGGTATTCTTTACAAAAAATTCTCCCTTTCTCCTAAATTTTTTTCAATGATGAATCTCACTATTAGAGATGTTCTTATAACTTTATAACATGTATGACACATAGATATATGACACATACCTTAAAGTTTGCAAAAACTTTTTTTTTTTTTTTTTTTTTTTTTTTTTTTTTTTTTTGCGTAACATGAAATTCCTTATAAACTTATGAAACGTACCTTATATCTTTTGAGTATATACCTTACAACTATATGACACGTAACATAAATTTTTGTAAAATAAAACATAAATTGTTAAAATAATGTTAGTGTTTTTATATATTTTACTTACTTATTTTACTTTAATGTGATATATGTTATAATTTTATGCACCTAAATATATTGTGATTATATACCTTATAACTTGATGACTTTATGACATGTACCTTAAATTGATTTTAGGAAAATTTATTTTATAAAAATAATTTGGTTATGTACCTTACACACATGTAGGGTATGTACTTTTTCTCAAAAAAAAAAATGTAGGGTATGTACTTATACCTTTCAGGGATGTAACTTATACTTTTAGGACATGTACATTATGTATATACGACGTACACCTTAATTTTTCATTGAATTTTTTTATTTATTTTTATTTTATACCTTCTAACTTTATACCATGTATCTTATATATTTCTCACCGTATGAGTAGCTCTCGTATTAATATGATTGTCACATAAACTTCAATTTATATATATACATTGTTGTCTATGTTCCGCACAAATCAAACTCAACATCAAAATCGTTCGATCCATTTTTAATTACCTAACACAATATACAATTGCCGCATTCTCAAAAGCATGAATCTTGCATTATTATAACAAAAAGTATATTAAAAAAAGGTAGTGATAAAACATAAAAGTTCAATTTATTAGAGTAGATAAAAGAAAACTTCATAGACACGGAGTACTTAAGACTTTAAGAGTCAACAAAAAGGAAATACAAAGGACAACACAACGTACATTGGGCTGGAATTATTCTCTTTTTTTTACAAAAAAAAAAGTCTTAGTGCAAATAAAAAACACGCATAGGAAAATACTACCTCCGTAAACGGTTATTTGCAACGATGGGACATAAAGTAGAGAGGAAAGATGTCCCATCGTTGTAAATAACTGTTTACGGAGGTAGTAGAAGGGAATGAAAATACAGTATTAAAAATTAAAAGATGACTCTTTTCATGTAGTCGGGAGTCCGCATCAGGCACACGTAGATAACGAAGAAACGGGTCGTCCAAATTCCAATCGCAGAGCATAAGCATCAATGCATCATCAGCATTATGCAAAAGTAGGACGTCCATATGGCCCATACTTGTGAAACTCTTTGGTCTGAAAAATATTAGTAAATTAGGAAAATTTAGAAATTATGAAAATTTTTCAGAAAGATACTGTAGTAAATTTTTTGTGAGAAAGGATGTAATATAAAAAATGGTATAGAAGGATCTTATAAGCCACTTTTATTATAAGGAGGGACTTTGTAGCCAAAAAGTAGAGAGTTGACCACCGAAATTCAGCATTGATCAATATGTGAGTGGCTTGTGAGGTTTCCATTAAAAAAAAATTCTAGATTTTTGAGCCAGAATTTTGCTCAATAAAGGTTTGAGGGTTCTTTTTGACACATAAGAAACTAATTTGAAGTATAAATTGGCAAAAAAATTACCACAAATATCTCGTTTTGCGTATTAAAAAGTACATTACTTAGCGTATTGTTATTTTCAAGTCAAGAAAATTGTTCATTCACGGTTTTGCAAACATTTTGGCAAAAATTTATGATGAAACCTTAGCCGAACAATTTTTTCGACTTAAAAACAACGGCATGAAAGCCAAGGCATTTCTTGGCAACAAAATGAGACATTTTTAGTATTTTTATTATGTCAATTTAGACTTTAAATTGAGATCTTAAAAGGCCAAATGACCTCCAAAACTTTAAATGAGCAACTTTTTAGCCTTGAAAATATTGACACGAAAATCAAGCCAGGCGTTTTTTTGCACGCAAAACGTAATATTTATAGTAATTTGTGGCAATTTTAGACTTCAAATTGGACCCTTAAAATATCAAAATAACCCCCAAAATAAAACCTTAACCGAGCAATATATACCCATGAAAGAAATAATGGGATTATGGGAAGAAAATTGAGGTGTTTCTTGGCATGTAAAATGGGACATTTCTAGTAATTTCATTGCCAATTTACACTCAAATTGTCCTATAAATTACTAAAATTACCCCCCAATATTTTTCGCTAGCAAGTTTTTGGCTTAAAATAAGGCACTGTAACCGAGGTATTCCTTGGCATGTAAAGCTGAACATCTTAGAAATTTTATTTCCAATTTAGACTCATATTGTCCCATAAATGACTATAATTATTAATTACCCCCAGAAAATTTAGCTGAACAAATTTTTGGCTTGAAAAAAGGACACGGTAACCGAGGTGTTTCTTGACACATACACAAAGCAGGACATTTTTATTAATATTTTGCAAATTTCAATTCAAATTAGGCCTTTATGGGCCGAATTGACCCCTAAATAAAACCTTAACTAATCAATCTTTTGGCTTGAAAATTGAGAATTTTTATAATGGGATCATATGCCACTCACATGTTGATCAACTGATTCCGGTGGTCAACTCCTCAATTTTCCAGGAACAAGGTCTTATAAGGCTTTTATATGCCACCTTTTTTTTTTTAAGGTCCGTTCTTACTAGCAAAGAAGAGACTATAAAATATAACTTTCTTACAAATTTTCCTAGAAATTAAAGTAATAATACTAAATATTAGAATATAAAAAAAAATTAAAACATACATGTAAGTGATGTAACCATGAAATGATGATAGTTAGAATTAAGGATAATAAATTACCTCATCAATAATTCCAAATGAATTAAGTAACAATCCATAGGATCCATAAAACCCAACAATAGAACTATTCATTGATGGCACTGTATATGAGAAATTCTCAGTATTTGTGACATCATCTAGATTACCATATTCCATTCCCTCCGGATGTAAATTGGTATAGATCTTTATCAAGGCAATTTTGATCCCCTCCTTATTGTAATCTCCGTAAACCCCGTCTATTTGTGTTATCACTTCGTCGTCTTCTAGTGTAATCTGCATATGTTAATTGGTTAGACATGTTCTTGAAACTAAGAAAATAGTGATGTTTGATTATACTTGTAAATCGATCCGATAGATGTAGCCAATGCTTATTACGTAATACAATAATAATAATAATAATAATAATAATAATAATTGAAATGTACCAAGTCTTCGTTCTCTCCGGGACCACTAAACTTTTGGCTGTAGCTGTTTCCAGTGGTTTTGTTTTTTACTTCGAACACAAATCCATCAACAACAAATCCAGATTTGATCGTTAGTTTGGAAATATGTTCATCTTTCTTAAGCTTCATGTACCAGTTTACTTTACTGTCAACGTCACCACATAGCTCACTTTTTGTGGTCTTATTGCCCTGGAATTCAAACAATAATGTACTAAGATAAGATCGAATTACTCCATAAAATAAATTAAGCTTAATTAATTAATGTAGCATTTATATTACGTGTTCTGAAATTTTTATTATTGTCTTTGGTGTTATTGATAAACCTAGAAGGCTACTCCATTCAACTTTTGATCTATTGTTCTTACGATATCAAATAAATTCATTTAGTTGTGCAAGAAATCTATTCAATAGATTAGATCATATATGAAAAATGTACGTATGTAATAAATTCTTACCAATGCAAATATTCCAATAGAACCCAAAAATTTATCCGACAATAGAATCATCCATTGGAAGTGGAGATGAGAAAGGTGTTACTTCGCTGGCCTCCTTGAACTTACCACATTGTGCATACCCCTCTGGGTGTAAATGGGTATGTATCTTCAATGTAGTGATGCATGTCTCCCCTCGGTGTCTCCCGTATGTTCCGCTAATATGGGTTACAAAATCATTATCCAACGGAATCTGCATTACCTATAATTACATACACTTTGTATTTAGATGATCAGAAATTATACAACATATTCTTGATTTTGGACTTGTTCTCTTCAGCTTATTTCAGATCGATAATTACTACTAATTCTTTTTAATATATAGACCAGAAATATTTAGATAAAATCATACTCATAAAATTTAATCATCGTGTACTTATTAATAAATCTATAGTAATATATAAAGTGAGAAAGGGGTTTTTGGTGATAAATTCACTTTTCCCAAATACCTCTCTCATCAAAAAATTACCATTTTTTTTTTATAAAAAAAAACTACCATTCTTTTTTTTTTAACTACCATCCTTTTTCTATTAAATTCTTTTTTGAAGGATGCATATCTATTATTTAACTTCCATGACTTCATCAACATATATTTTGTAATAACATATCTTATTTTAAATACCTAATAATATTTATTGTTTTTTATCAACAATTTTTAAATTCACTAATATTATTTTTTTATTAGAATAAGGAGGATAATATTCCAAAAAAAAAAAAGAGAATCAAGTATGATAGATTTTATATATTGCACACACACGCATTGCGTGTGTCTCTTATCTTGTATCTTTAATACCATAGTATATATAATATTATGACAAAAATACATACTTGAAAATTATATTTTGAGACGAATCTAATAATTAAGTTTCAATTATTTGATATGACAATGTGTTATCTTATAGAATAGTATAAGAATGCTGATAAAAAAAATTCAGTATTTGCAAGTTCTTTAAAATATTAAGATAATGTAAACTTGCATCAAAGACAAAAATTACAAAATAAGTCCTAGTTGTAAGGTTAATTCTAACTCAAAATTACATGATTTAATACCTTAACAGGATGACGATGTGACTCGGGTTCGGTGCCTTCGTACCATATAGTATCCTCTTTTTCCCCATCCTTATCAGTTATTTCGAACCCAATTCCGTTAACAACGAAGCCATGTTTAATCAAAACTTTCGTGATCGTTTGGCCTTCTTTAAGCTCCAAGGACCACTGCAAAATAAACAACAAAGAAAAGATTAAATTGAAGAAAACAAAAGCAAATGGATATTAAACTCATCCTACATACTCCCCCGATTTCTATAAGTGGTTCTTGTTCAAACTTTTTTTTTATTAATTTTTGAGAGAATATAAATCACTGTCAAAACAATAAGAATTTGTGGGAGTACTATGCAATTAAACTTTAAATTAAATTGAGTAACTAGCTAGCTAGAATATCACACTAGTACCGGTTCCATCGACGCTGTTGCCATTTCGTGGTTGGTAACTCGGTATTAACACGACGGTTTTTGATCAAATAAGAAATGGAGGATGATTGTTATGTTGCAATTAAAATGAGGAAGATGTTCGATACATATATATAGTCGTTTAATGAGATCGAAAACCGAATACGTTTAGAGCGGTGGGAGTAAAATATTTATTAATGTTAACATATAATTAATTTATTCAATATATTCGTAATTAACAAAGAATTCCTCATTCAATTAGTCTTTGTCAAGGTAATTTAATATATTGAATATGTCTCCCTGAATACAATCTCTACCATTATTGATAAAAGTCTAATCAAGATATATATATAATACCCTTATACGGTGATCATATATATGTAATCACTTGATCGCACATGATCAATATCATGATTTATAATCTTCAATTAACCAACTTGCATTGTCTTGGTCAATTAAACTATTGTTTCACTCTTCATGATCGATGACGAAAAGGAGATTCAATGGAATGATTTCAGGCCATCAATAAATGATAGCTAGAGTTTAGATAATTTACGAGCTCAATCTCAAAGTTAATGACAAAGTCATGGGATTGGAGGAGTGAATAGGGTGTTTCTTTGTTTCTAGAATAGGACAACTTATAATACATGTATAGGGGTGTCAATTCGGGTAAACGGTTCGATTTCGGGTTGAGTTTATCGATTTTGGGTTATAACGGGTTCAATTTACAAACGGGTTAGTTCGGGTCGGTTTTTGAAAATTATCGTGTCGGTTCAGTTTGGTTTTATTTATTGCGGTTTGTACTCAGGTCGGTTCTTAATCGGGTCGGGTTATTATCAGTATGGGTTGAACTAGATCGGTTTGAAAACAGGTTAAGTCAGTTTAAACTGGATTTCTGTTTAAAACAAATCGGGTCAAGTCGATTCGATCGGGTCATGGAATGGGTTAGTTTGAAAACGTGTTTCGGTTCAAAACAGATCGGGTCAAATCAGGTCGGGTCATTATCGGGTCATAATCGGTTTGGGTTGAACTGGGTCGGTTTGAAAATGGGTTTCGGTTCAAAACAAATCGGGTCAAGTCAGGTCAGATCATTATTGATTCGGGTCATAATCGGTTTGGGTTGTGTTGAGCCTTTTGGTTTTGATGGACAAATTAACAAACTCGACTAATGAATGTTTTGAGCCTTTGGTGAATAAAGGGTTCAAGCAAAGTTCGTTCCGGAGTAGGAACTTGGATGCGGAGAAGCATTCTCTGAAAAGCCTCATGCAAATCTCACTTTCTAGTTTTAATTGTGAGCACTCAATAATATGAAGTCGAAAAGGAACTCAATGACTTATGTTATTAAAAAAGACTACTGGAATAAAATTTAGTTTTAAAAGATAATTTCTTAAGGAAAAGATAATTTATAAAAGTTTTATCTAGTCATCTAATTTCGAATAAAGATAATTATCGAAGATAATTATCTAGTTGTTTTAATATAAATAATTAATTTATCTTTTCAAATAAAATCTTTTTAAACAAACTTTTGATAATCTTTTTAAACAGATTTTTGATAAAGTTAGCAAGCGGTTTTTCTGTGTGAAAATCTTTGATTATACGGCTAATGTTTATCAAGTTGTGGATTAGTGAGATAAGGCTAGGAAACCTCCTTCATGATCACCATCTGTCAAGATAACTCCACAAGTTGTTAGTGGGGTGTTGGCATGTGGACGTGATTATAGTGGAGGTTAATGACTAAGCCTTCTGTATAAATACTCATGCAAACTATCTCAGAAAAATATAACTCTTGAGCATAAAAATTCCAGTAGCCATCTAACAACATAAAGAGAGTTATTATCCTTCTTATATTCTTGAGTGCAATAGGTATTTGTAATCACAGATTGTATTCAAGTACTTTGGGGTTGGGATTGTGAGTTTGTAAGGTGAGGTCAAGGAAGCTTCGTTGCTGAAGGCTTCTGTGAGAGTTGGGAACAAGTTCCTAATTTGTGGAACTTGTTAACGGGTTTGAATCTTCACTTGTAAAGAGTTTGATTACATAGTGGAAATTTAGAAAAGCCTATATCTTCTCTCGTCATTATTTCATTTAGTTAAATTCTGCAAAAAGTTTTTAGATTTCACCTCAAATACAATTCACCCCCCTCTTGTATTAGCCAGTTAGACTTTCAGTTGGTATCAGAGCGGGAACTCAGAGCACGCAGGCAACCCTGTTGAGTAAGTTCCTGGGAAAATGGCTTACATAGAGGAAAAGGAATTCAGGAGTACATCCATTCAAAGGCCTCCATACTTCAACGGTAAATATTATCCTTATTGGAAGGATAAGATGGAAATCTTCATCCAAGCAGAGAACTATCAGGTATGGCGGATTATACAAGTAGGAGATTACGAAATTACGAAAACGAATGCTAACAATGAGGTAATCCCTAAACCTATGGATGAATATGAAAAAACTGATTTCGAAAAACTAGAAATGAGTGCTACTGCCAAAAAGTTTTTAATTTGGGGACTTGGACCCGATGAACATACTCGTGTCAAAGGGTGCAAGTCCGCAAAGGAAATTTGGGATCTTCTGGAAGTTACACATGAAGGAACGTCAGATGTTAAACGCTCCAAAATAGACATTCTTTTGTCTCAGTATGAGCGCTTTGAAATGGGAAACAAAGAATCCATTAAAGACATGTTTACTCGATTTAAAAGTATTACTAACGAACTAACGTGTCTTGGTAAGATAATTCCTATAGATGAGCAGGTCAGAAAGGTCTTAAGAAGTCTTCCAGACAATGACAGATGGAGAGCAAAGGTTGCAGCTGTGCAGGAATCAAAAGACTTCACCAAGTTCAATCTAGAACAGCTTGCAGGTTCCCTCATTACCCACGAGATCCAGTTGAACAACCGGACTCAGGAGACTGTCAAAAGTCAAGGGCTAGCACTAAAAGCTAATGAAGAATCCGAAGAGAAGTCTGACATTGATGAAGAAGAAGCTGCAATGTTGGTGAGAAGGCTGAAAAAATTCTACCGTAACAACAAGTTTTTAGACAAGAAGAAAGGATACAGTAAAAGAAATCGGGAATCCAAAGCCAAGTCTTCTTGTCACAAATGTGGAAGCACCAACCACTTCATCAAAGAGTGTCCATTATGGGAATCTGAGAAAGGCAAGGGAAAAAAAGCTGATCAAAACAGAAACTCCAAGCCTAACTTTTCTAAAACAAATTTCAGGAAAGCAATGATTTCCACGTGGGGAGAATCAAGTTCCGAAGAAGAGGAATAGGAACACACAGACGATGAAGTAGCCAATCTCTGTCTAATGGCAAAGCATGATGATGAGGTAGTCATTCAACCTAGTTATTTGAAATCTCTCTCAAAGGATAAGTTAATCTCTTTATTGTTAGAAACCTTAGATGAATATAAAGAATTATGTGCAAAACTGAGGCAAGCCGAAAAGGCAACTGGAATTTGTAGAGATCATGTTAAGTATCTGAATAGCTTAAGAAATGATGTTCAAGGCAGATTCTTTGAATTGTTAGATAAAAATATTATGCTAAAAGAATCCATTGAAAGAGTCAAGAGTGAGAATATCATGCTGAATATTGAATTAACTCAATATAAAATGTTGTGTACTAACATTGATTCTTGCAGGTCTACTGAAGTTCCTTTAATCATGTTTAATAATGAACTAGATCATGTTAAGAAAGAGATAAAGGATACTAATGGTAAAAATGAAAAACTAGAAAAGGACCTAGAAA